TTGTTTTTGAGGCGCCTGGGTGAAGGGAATGAAAACGCATCAAATAGCGACTGTAGGTGCTGCTTTTATCCTCCTACGTCTTGGGTTTATAGATTTCCATTGCCTTTACACATATTTTTTGGTTAATTTATGACGGAGTTCGAAATTACCTTTTCCTCTGCATTATTTTGCACGAGTCTGGTTTGTATTGAATCGCATCAGTAGGCATTGTGACATTATTGTCCCCTTCCACTGTTTCTTTTGGTCATGAATATCTGGGTGCAAACTTTCATGATTCGGTATGTCAATTTCGTAATTGAAGTATATTACGGTTGTTCTAGACCATTAAACATTTAATCTTCTTATTTCCGCAAAAATGTTCCCCTTTGTCTCTGAGCTCATCTGGTCCTTAGCCTTTCCACTGTATGCCTTAGCCTTGACTGATGATCGGATAACACTACCTGAACGTCAAGCATTCAACTGATTTAGCACTACTCCCGTGCTTATTTTGCCTTTCAAAGGCTTCATTGTGCTTCGATGTTCTGGTGGGTGCTGTATTAATCTTCCAAGTTTACGCTGGTGTATGTGATTTTGAGTAGCTCCCTATTCCTTAATATGTGGCCTGTGTGCTACAATTTTCCGTTATTCTTATTTTACCTTTGGTGGTTATTTTGACGTCCGAACTACATTTCATCTAAAAGTCTAGTAATTGTCATTTAGTGGGACATCGTCTTTACTATATTTGTTATTATCGGGCGTAATAGAATATACCTTCTACTTTATAGCTCTTGCACACAAACATCGCAAGTTGAAACCAGTTATGTCCATGCCTGCTGGCTCGGTCACGGCCGACCACTTGGTCCCAATCCGGAAGTTAGTTGCAAAATCTTCCACTTCTGCGAAAACTGTAGAGACAGGACCAACAGTGGCAGCTACAGGAACTGGAAGTCTCGATGAAGTGGGATCTCTTGTCTCTGCTTCGTCTGTCTCTAAGCTTCTTGAACTTGGTGAGGTGGCCGACAACGCATCAAGCTGCACAGCACCCTCTACTCCCATAATTGTTGCTAAAACACGAGAGGGGTTGGCTCGTGCGGCACAAGAAGATCTTGCACGACTCTTTGGAATTTCTAAGGGCGCCACGGCCTTTGAGGGCATGGTTAGCGTAGTAGAAATCAGTCCTGGTGAGCTGATTGCCAAGGAGATGGAACTTCAACCGGCGCTGTACTACGTCCTCTCAGGGGGATTCGTCATTACACAGCTCTCCACCGTAGCTGGACCGGTGTGTTATTGACTTCTTCTGTAGTTGTGATTCTGAAGTTTGATTGGATGATTTTGAGGAAGTTATGGAAACGTATGCAAAGCTGAGAATTTTATGGTAAGGCTATCAGTCTGTTGACTTATTTGCAATTGACAATGTGCGCTTACCGGTCCGCACTTTGAATCTTACTTCAATACTTCTTAATCTGATAGTTGGGAAATTCGAGCAAACCATTTGGTCCAGGTTTACAAAATTCATTATTAATAATGGTTACCATGGCACTGATGGAAGTTCCTACAGTCATGTCTTTTGCGCCTTTTCTTGAAGTTCTTCCCCATGTCTCAATTTCGGTTTTTAAATTATCTACAAATCGTCTGTAGATTCGCTAGAAGATGTTCCGTCAATGAGAGTTAACGGTACTCAGGCCTTGATAACTATGTTCATCTGTTAACCTGTGCAGCGCTTGTACTTGGTGTTGAGAGGACTTCCTCCGGTGCTCCATAGTGTGAACTTTCTTAACCAATAATACGCGATTGGTGTTGGGATTTGGTACTCGATTAATCCGACTTCATCAGTATTGCTCTTTTTTCAACTCCCCTTTGGTGTACTTCGTACGCGTCTGCCCATTGTAGGCCTTTTACTTTTGGGTGAGGTACGTTACCAATGGGTTGCATCTCAGTATTTTATTGTCTCAGAGGTTTGGCAGTAGTAGTGCGCTTTGTTTTAGCTCCCAAACTGCAGTAGAATCTTTCGTGCTGTGTTCGGCTTCTGAATATCCTCAGGTTGGCGGTAACTCAATCTCCTCAATGACACTTTCCTTCACATTCGCATGTATTGTCGTAGCTTTTTGAACACGTTTGACCTTGTTGATTAGGTTAACTCCCAACTTGGGCACTTGGATTTATGTACGGTTCGGATGAAAGTGGAATTAAGGCTTGAGAGGGGTTGCTGATCCATGCTGGCTAAGTCTTTGTGAGGTGGTAAAGTAAAAAAAGAAACAGAGATCTGAATAGCTGATTATCCATGCCTTTTCCGAATTGCTTTCAAACGAAGTAGATTACTAACATTATTTGTGAACCAACGATAGTCTCGCCATCACTGTTAAAAATCTTCGTACATTGGAATGAAGTCATTGCTTCTTTCAGGGGGTGACGAAGTCTGTGCCAGTGTTGCGGTGTATGCCTGGCGAATTGATTGGTTTGATGTGCGTGATCACAGGAGAGGCAAACAATTGCAGCGCACAAGCGTCCGTTACTTCACGGGTAGCGGTGTTGTCTCGCGACAACTTTTTCCGTCTGGTGCGTTCCTATCCGCAGGTTCTTATCAATGCTGCCAATCTTGTCTGTCTACGATTGTCGCGTCTTCTGCGACTGGCCGATTTTGCTATTGAGTGGCATGGGGTAGATGCGGGCAAGGCGCTATATAAGTAAGCTTTTTCTTGGACTCTCACACCTCAGTTATTCGGAAGGGTATTCTATGCTTTCCTTCTATCCTCATAATTCATTTGTTTAGAAACTTCCATGTGCCTAACTGTGGTGAACTTATTACGTTCTGCGAGCATTGGTCACTCAACTTCCTCTTTCCTCGTTTGTTTACGAAGGAGTGATTTAATTAGTAATATAAGATGTGTCAAACTTCTACGGATGGGTAGCCTCGTGTCTATAGGTTAAATGAACATCTTTTAACATGTATGTGATTTATTTTTTCCTATTTAAAACTTCCTGCGGGACTTGTGGTCAAAAGTATCTGGACAATTTTTGAAGTGAAAGCTGCAGCAACCCACCTTTAATTTAGCTTTGCACACTCCACTTAATCTTGTAAACTTGAGATTATCCTTCTTTAATTTTGTACTAGACTTCTCGACATATCCCTTCTAGAGTTGTGCCAATAGCTCCATTTAAGAACCTTACTTCCAAATTTTAATGATTAGCTCTGCAATTGAAAGTGCTTCACGACCACGGTTCATAATATATGAACCTCTTGTGTATTGCATGATCTTTCGAGTTAATTCCTCATTAAGCACTTCTCACGTAGCAGCTAATGTCATAGCGATTAGTTAAGTGCTTTTATGTCTGCTGCGGCATGTCACTCTGCTAATTGACTAGTTGACCTGTCTACGCTGAATAGTGCGGACATTTCATCGCCCTTCTCATTTCTGTTCCAGACAGGGTGACGACTCGAATTACGTTTACGTGGTGCTAAACGGTCGATTTCGAGAGGTTCACACGAACGTCGATGGGAGTCGCAATGTGATTGCTGAATCGGGTCGTGGGGCTTTTTTGGGCTATGTGGAGGTTACTAGCGCCAAACCTCGTATGAACACAGTTCTTGCCATCCGGTAAGTTAGTCCCGCCTTTTACCATCAAGATTGTTCGATCCTCGAATCACATCACTTCGAATGACTGCTTGACTCGGGCCAAAGATGCAATTCTATGATTAGACCTCCCTTTTAGCTTGCATTTTCTGGCGACTGAACCCCGAACTGTCAAATATTGTCTCAAATATACTACTTTTTTAGACGGTTCTCATTATCCTTCTCATAACGAGCTTGACATATAATTTATCCGACTCAGACAAATACTGATAGATGTTTGTTTTTCTTCTGTTAATCTCCGTCCAAAATAAGTTGACTCCTCCTTTTTATAAGGAATTCAGTGTATTGATCCGGTAGCTTGTAGTTGATAAAAATGCCAAATATCTCCGCTCATTTATTTTGCAGCGACTCCGAGGTGGTAAAAATGCCTTCTATTCTGTTGAATTGGTTGAAGCGCCTTACTCCTCATCCCGTGAGTCGATTTATCCAGCTTCTCTCCGACCGACTGATGCAGCCCACCGCCTATGGCATCCTGGAGGGGGGTCAAACCCCTTCCTCCACCTCTTTCGGAACCTTTGCATCTGGATCTTATACCGAAGGCGTCAATGACGTTGGTGTTCCGCAACAGTCACAACTGAACGCTGCCGGTAGTGGAGGTGCTCTGACGAATCTGCGCGCCATTGCAATTCTCGCTACCTCGCCGGATATCAACACAGAGGCCTTCACACTTGAGTTACAGCATGCGATGTCGGTCTTCGGCTCATCGCTTCGACTAACCTCTGGTATGTATTCTTTCTTCCTCGAACTTTGGCCGTTACCCCAGTACCATGAATAAGTATCTGTCTTCCTACTCTCTTTTGTGGATCCCTATCTATACTCTCGTGAACCCATTATTTGTATGGATGGACCTCAACCTCACTTTGGGTTTGTTTAGTGACTAAAGGTTACGTAGTCAGGTGCGACTCATCACTCTATGTACTGCATGCGTTGCCAAGCCGAGTGGATGTACTTTGTTGTCTGTTTAGCAAGCTCACAGGCTTCAAGTCTTACTACTTGAAGCTGCGTTACCTGCAGTCTGTGGTTGACTATATGAAGAGTCTTGTGCGCTTCTCGTTCCAAAATTATAAAATCGCGTTGATATTTTCATAAGGTGGTTACCTCCTTCCCTTTACTTTCGTACATTCGTGTTATGCGAGTTTTAGCATAGAGAACGTGGAAGCACTTTTCCAGGAACAATTGGACTTCCGTTTTTCTTTGTGCTAAAAGCA